GATATAATTACAACATGTTCCTTTTAGCATAATCAAAGTAACGTATTGAAATTTTATACATGTATACCTATATATATTATATATATATATATATATATATATATATATATATATATATGTGTGTGTGTGTGTGTGTGTGTTTATTTATGTGTATATATATATATATATATATATATATATATATATATATATATATTATATATTTGCAGTAATAATTGGAAAGTCACTCAACATCAGTGATAGAGCTAACATACTTACTTGTATGGATATGAGTCCGTAACAATGGTTTTAGCGATCTTTCGACAAACTCTGTCTGAGTAATCTTATAAAGCATTAAACCCATGTTACAAACTCATAATCATACAACTAATTATATACTAATATATATATTTATATATATATATATATATATATATATATATATATATATATATTTATAAGTTGCATTTTCTTCAGGATTGTTGTTCACCACTGTAATCAAATCTCATGTGCAGGTGTCAGGCTGTCGGTTTCCTGAAACTGATCTGCTTGACTCTCATACGTCGAATCTCGACAGGAGGTCGATTATTTATAAATATATATATATATATATATATATATATATATATATATATATATATATATATATTTCAGAAAAACATATAAAGATTTCTATCGCGTATATATATATATATATATATATATATATATATTCTATACAAACAATGGATATATATATATATATATGTATATATATATTTAGTTTGAAAAATCTGTCCTTTAACTTACGAACTTAGTCAAAAATATAAACTATCATTCTTAAACTTTCTTTTAGAATACAGTAGTAGTACCTTTACCATCATTATATATATATATATATATATATATATATATATATATATAAACATTAATAATGGACTATTTTCTCATAGATGAAGAGAAGATTACGGTAACAGAAACAAGTAAAAGAGTGCTGAACTATAATCTGTAATGCCAATCCTCATGTAATGGCAGTGAATGCATGAGGTCTATATAACCGTCCCGATCTTTGGTTTATGTTCAGTTATGCGAAACTACCACCACCTATTCTATGTTCAATTTCCTTATCTCCTGCTCAGTAGACATATCCCATTGACCGACTCCAGTGTTTCGTATAACATCGCTCATCAACGTTAGCTGGTTATATATATATATATATATATATATATATATATATATATATATATAACCAATAACAGAAACACTTGCCAGATTAATTTGAAGAGTGAATGCCGACTCAGATACAAAATAGCAGTGAAAAAAAACTTCCTAAAAAGAGCACATCAGAATTCATCCTTTCGTCTACGTTTCCTTAAAGAACTCAGCAATGAAAAACTGACACTAGTTAACAATGGCTACCCTAAGTACCTCATCGACCACCAAATTAGACTATTTTTTTCCAAAGTAAATAACAGCGACAGTGAAGATACAGTCAACAATAATATATATATATATATATATATATATATAATATATATAAATATATATATATTTTTTAAAATATAATAAAAAGGCTTAAACACTAATATTCCATGGCCATAATTTATTCCATTGGAATCGTAAATACGATCCAATTCATCAGACTTACAAATCAAGTATTAAGAAGTATTAAATAACATTTACCGGCCTTAATGTCCGAGAAATTTTCATAGAAAATATTCATCCTTCGACAGGATTTTTTAAACGAGTATCCTATACGGAACCTTATCATATAATTTCTAACAATTTCCTGATAAAAATTGATGTTAATTAATCAATTATTCAGGCCGATAAATGTTATTTATCTACTGTTTAATTTTTAAACATAAAATTTCTTTATTTAATTTATAAACATAAAAATATATATATA